TTGAAGGAGGAGATAACTCAGCTGAACGTTGAAATTGGTGAAATTCAGTCTCAGCTCTGCAAGTTTTACAAATACTGCAGTGAGAGCTAGAGGTTCTTAGAGGACAGCGCATGACCAGTTTAGTGTGTGCCTGTTATCTGACTTTGCATTTGTTACCCCGAGTACGAACATCGAGATTAGTGTGATTAACTCTTGATGAGTCCGAGTGGGATAGATGTCATAGCTTTCTAGATTCTAGTAGGGAGATCGGTCTGGTTGATGTGCCATTACAACATCAAGCCAAGATGATACCAGGCTAGGCTATGGTTTCGTCCCACATGAACACTAACGTCTTTTTGTACTATTACGTAAATTTAGCCTCTGCAGAAGTAGAGTACGGGTAGAGCCGGATTGGGCCAGGTTGAACTGCCAGAACTTGTCCTACTTTAATGGCCGGAGCTGTGCCAGTTAGCATGTATGAGTTGGGCAAGATGTGCCTAGCCGCTCAAAGAAACAATGTAAAACAAAAGAAACCCTTTCCCGCGCCTAGACGCCACATAGAACGAAATGTTGTACAAACTTGGTCAGCATGCACCCAAGCCTTGGAGAACGCCAACGTTTAATCTGCACGCAGCCGTTTTCTTTTGCATTAGATTTTTGTTGCGCATGCAGCCATTTAGCTATGACGCAATATCGGAGAGAAAGTGCATAATGGATCACTCAATCATAACAAAAGCACTTATGTCTCAATTATCATTTGCAAGTACCACTGCGAAGTTATGGTGGCTTTTTCTTCAACACAAGTCAACACTCATCCGTGAATACCCATCCAGGTAAACGTCTCCAAAACTCTGAGTTATCCAGACTTGCCTCCGTTATTCGTTGACTTTTCTCCGCGCGATATGTAATCTTAAACGTCTCCGTCGCAAGTGGAGTAGGTGCCCAGGCTACTCAAATCAGACTAGAGAACACCAACAGGAGCCGAGCCGCGGCGCACTCCATCGTTGAACCAGAGTGTGATTGTCTCTAACGTGAAAAGAGATCCGATGTGTATATGTAACACCGGTCATGTTTCATGGCTAGATAGCTGAATACACATCAAATGACTTAAATTACATCGTTGGCTTATTTTTATAGTGTCAGCTGCACTCTCGCAAGCGAAGTCTTGGAGCCCACAAAGCTCAATTCGTAAAAATCCTTGCCAATTTTCAAATTTCCCGGGCGTCGAGATTATATCCTTCCTGTGCATCGTCTTGTGACCTTTTCCTGATCCCATTCACCCCAATCACATAGAACTGTCTCTCAGATTTATGCGACACGCTTTGTTTCTTCCGTTGGGTGTAAATATCGGCGTGGGCGTGTATCTGGGGACCAGCTAAGGCCAGAAAAAGTCGACGAGAGGTGTGGTCATAGGAATGAGGATGAACTTGGTCATAATTGTAGACTTGATGGGACTTAGGTAGGAGTCAAACTCATTGGGAGCGAAAAACTGCGTGGTGGAGTAATTTGAATCATTGCCCCGTGGGCCAACTTGTTCGATGTTGCGAAATTTGACTGAACTTAACTCTGGGAGAATATTTCACTCTCAGGTTCGTTGAGGACAGCGCGTACGGTTGTCCAGTCTTTGCCCTGCTGCATGTAGCCGTTGTACGTCAGACGGGCTACACAGCTGCCTACTCCTTGAATATCTCTGTGCATAGAAAATTACGAGTCGATTTTATAACTATTGTAGCTTTTGGATAGACTACGATGTGGTTTCACGATCGATCGTAATGATTTAGTAAAGAGTTGTACGATTCTGTGTTGGTCTAAGATATTCATAATTGTCTTCTTTACTACGCTATACAGGATTCACAGCTATACTGTGGATCCTGGCTAGCGCATCCATGCTGAAGTCATCATGTGATCCCCATATGACGACACATCTACTTTTACGTCTTAGATAAACCGACAGTAGCCGGCAAAGAATATCTCTTCACCTTCAAGTGGTGCCAATGTCACTGCCCAGCCTACTCTGCTTAAGTGGGACTGCCAAGAAGATTCGCATCCGAATCAAAGTCGAATTCAAACACAAGCTGTTGCATTTTTAGGCATAAGATGAATATCTATTGTTGTCAACTATCTGATACTTAGAAATATGTCTAACTGTACAGGGTGATTAGTCATTTATGAATAAGTCTTGTCCATCAATTTGCTAACACAAGCTGATCTACATTCAACGGCTCCTAGTCAATGTGGGTCCTGACATTCTCACGCAATTCCTTCGACTCAGTCTCACTACAAACTATTCAGTCATGATGAAAAGTCAAAGAGCTACCCCATTTATAAACGGGTGCTAGTCTCATCATTCACCAGTCATATTCCACTTTAAAATTAGGACATAATCTTTTATCGCAACGAGTAAATTAAGTCAAAACACACAAGATCTGGGTTTGGCTAATAGGGGACCTTAGCTCTAATCTAGCTATCAATGAAATGGATTACAGTTTGCTGGGGCTTCGACTGAGAGAGGGAAAGTTTTATCGATGGGTTTCATAGGATTCAATATTTCAAGAGATTTCCGATTTTGAGAGACTCGTAGACGACAATAATACGGTTTCGATGAGTGCTACCGATACTTCGAAAACTGGATGCTCTACTTTTCGTTAAGTCAATTAGTGTGTATGCAACCAATTGGCTGTGATACAAGATCAATACTGTGCCTGTATCTTTGATGACTCTCTTGGCTCCAAAGGCACTCATACTCTATATTTCATTCGCGAATACCGCTAAGAGTTACGTTGCACGAAATAGATGACCTTCGTATGTGAGAATCCAGTTTAGGGAAGACTCAAAACCTATGAGTATCCAAGCGTATCTACCTCATAGTGTGAACCGCCGAAGGATATTCAGTCTTCCTCCATTTTATCTCCTTTATCTTCGCTACTAAATATCGATATTAATTGACCACATCTCATTGCGCCGTACAAGGGTCTATCCAATGCTTAGAATATCTGAAAGGATAAATAAGTTCAGAGATAATTTACTTCAAGTAGTTGAGGGTATGATAGAGCGATAAATTTATCGGATGTCAGTTCTCAATCCAAGAGGAATTAATACCTTGAAAGGTATTAAAGTCAAATCCACTCGACAATATCACTTGAGTAACAGGAAATCGTTCTCGTACGTGATAAATGTGAGCATTTTCATGCACTTTCTAGCAGAGCTTTGGCGTTGGTCAGATGGACCCCAGGTCATCCCAAGGTCTGCGGGAATGAAGAGGCTTATGAGAAAATACCAGCCGCTCTGTTTGTATCCCACGATCATCATTGTATACCGCGTCATATTTCACAGGGTCTTTTTGGCCGCTTGACGAAGCAGGAAAATATTCACAAATAGCGTTTGTAACTATGCCCAATTTGGTACATAAACATGGATTCTCAGATGCATCAATAGAGGCCTCCTGAATTAGCACATCCCTGATAGGTTCTACTTACACTTCGGGCGACAAAATCGAGTCACGTAAACTTCGTAGCGTACCATTGTTGCTTCCATCACAAAGACTCTAAAATGAAATACGTTTTTTAATGTGAGACCTCTTCCAAGTGTTATGAGCTGTCGAAGAAAAGCTTCATAAATGCGAAAGTTTATTGGGGGCGTGACATGGCTTAAGTTACGGGCCTTGCACTCAGTCATGAATTTGCCGAGAATTGTAAACAATGGTCATGAGAAACGGTTTATTTTGAAGGCCTACATGACTAGCGCTACAAATGCCCGTTCGGCTCTCTTTAATAGTAATTTTGCTATCATTCCATCTTGGATAATTTCTTTCTTCACGTAGTACCTCATAGTATCGGAAGTTATAGGAATGAGCAAGACACGTTGTGTGAGGTTTGTGACGCTAGCTCCATCGATCTTACACTAATCATGGTCTAAAAGCGTTGGCTTAGGGCCTCCAATTGATAAATGCTGCACCATATCGTCCTCAAGGGCATCACGAGAAGATTAAGACAAAAAGCCCATCATTGATATTTGCACGTACCCGCTTCTCTCACCTTGGAGTCTGCAAAGCCGAGATTAAATCTGGCACTAGCAGGAAGAACTACTATTGTCCATTAGCCCAGTAAATTCCCCACTATACAAGATAATGTTAGAATTGGGCTTTGCTACTTGACAGCATAAAATCTTAATCAGGACTTCCTTGGTCCTTCAACACCACCTCCATTTTCTTCCGAGGCGCGAATGACGGAAGGAATCGACATTATTCTGAGAAGGTGTAGAGTAACTTTCATAGGTACACAAAAGTCTGCACCGTCGAGCTGACCGGCCAATCTAAAAGCCTTAGAAGTGGAGCTTTGCCTTCAAGATTAGTGCTGATATCGGTATTTGGGGGAAGGGCACTATTGAAAGTAAAATTTTTGATTAAACAGTTTTCAGCTATCTTTCATCGTGTGCGGCTCAATGGTGACTTGATTCCAAAATATTTATAACCCAGTATTCGCGGAGCCTGCACCTAGTAGTTTTCGTGATCTGCCCCGCCAACTGGATATTTACAATTGACCATCCCTTTGCTAGTCAGATAGGGGTAAAATAGATGGCATAGGGTTCCTCTGAATGTATGGCCGAGTAAAGACTTGTGATAGGCGATACTTCTAGATGACAACTGAGACAAGGGAACTTGATTACTACCCAAAGAAAAGTCTACAGGTAGAGGTGTGCTACACATCATCGTTTGATATTGGACTCGATAGAACATTAAGTCTTATCAAATCTCACAACGTCATAATTGGCAAATTAAATGAGCTCGCTTGTCAATAGATTAACGTATAAATATATGGAAATTGTGGATCTACATACGTATTGGGAATATTACGGACATGGTTGTAAAGAACTGCCTTAACAACAAAAGTGATTTGTTCGATATACGACAGCTGAAAGGTTATCAATCTAACCAATCGTGGTTTCAACGACTGGACCGGGGAGTAACTCAAGATAATATCTACAATGAGCGGGGGATGGAATACGAGTATTTACCCTGAACCATGTTCCCACTGTCTGCTAATCTCGGCATAGTCGAATCGGATGCCGTCGGTCTCAAAAATATACACACACAGATTAACTTACTAACAGTTTCCTAGGGAGTATTCACATATCTCCTGGAGAATCTACTGGTTAAAGATGTCCAATTTGAAGAACTCTTAGCACTTGATGCCAATCATCTTCGTCTACTAAACCCAGTTTACGGTGTTATATTTCTCTTCAAGTACCTCTCTAGCGAGAAGACAAACTTGGATTGTTCCCCCGATGACGGTCAATTTGATTATGAAGCTGCGGATAATATATTTTTTGCAATCCAAACTATACCAAATGCATGCGGTACTCAAGCATTGCTCTCTGTCTTACTTAACCATGATAATATGATCCAGGTGGGACCTCAGTTGCGCGAATTCAAAGAATTCACTGCCGCATTTCCGGCACAGATTAGAGGTGAAGCCCTCAGTAATTGTGAACTGATACGGGATGTACACAATAGCCTTGCTAGGAGCAGCCCCTTTGTAGATGAGACCCAACGACAAACAACCGAAGATGACGACGTCTATCATTTTATTGCCTATACGTCTGTCAACAACACTCTCTACGAACTTGACGGCCTTCAACCCGCACCTATTTCACATGGTCCTTGTTCATTTCACGAATTCCCTGAGAAGGTCATTCCAGTCTTACAACGACGTGTTGAGCGGTATCCGGCTCATGAAATTAGATTTAACCTACTGGCAATGGTTCGAGATTTAAGGCTGACAGCTAGTGAAACAGGAGATGTCGAGATGCTGTTCAGGGAAGAGCAGAAAAGGAATGAATGGCTCTTCGAGAATTCATTACGAAGGCATAACTTTGTGGGCTTTACTGGCGAATTGATAAAAGGTGTTGTCGCGTCAAAATTACAAGAGAGCCCCGAAGCTTTTGACTCTTGGCTCGAGGATGCTATGAATAAAATGGAGCAGAGGTCAGGCCGTGCTACACAAGATAAAAGCTTTGGGTCGAGCAATACGTACTTGGAACAGCAGAAATATAGTTGAAGCTGTTAATATTAGTAATAGGGCTTCTATCTTTAATGTAGTTTTAAAGATGAGTTATTATGAAAACGTAGATCTCACTATCGTTCGAGATCAAGGACAACGTCGATCAAAGGGAATGATTCAAGTGATTGACGTTCTATACATGCCAAAACTCATCTAGAAAAAGATCCCTCTGTACAGCATTGGCTTGTGGCTAGGCCTGCCTACCCAAAAATGCGTCGGGTCTGGTAGATTACTATTTCGCAGGCCGCTACTAAAAATTTGACCCAGATAACTACAGACTTCTATAACCTGATGGCATACATATTTACTCGGCCTAACCGTCAGTCACAAATAGAAGGGCCCGTGAAGTCAGCGAGGTCTATCTTACCCTTTAACTCACGTCTCGCCTATCGGTGACACTCCGTGTTCGAGACCTTCTTCAGCTCCGAAAGAGCGACATCTTGAAACGTTTGGGACATTATTATCCCGTAGTGAAACTGACTCAACAAAGACACGATTATGCTTTGGATTTTTCGTAAGACGTCGAACTGAGCTGACAATTTTGGCGGCTGCGATTATCTCGGTAGTTCTCTCGATTTAGCAGTTCGGCGTTTATCTAGGCCGCCCACCACGAACACTCATCCTCATTACGACTTGGCTTAAACCACACACGGGACAACTCTATCGTAAGAGATTCAACGTCATTTTTCATTGTGCATCACCCGCTATTTCCTATTCTTGCAAGAAACCTACACTGCTGCCACCACTTCACCTTCCAAATAGGATTACGTCCAACGAGGTGGGATAAGCAAGGCCAAGGCAACATGGCTAGACTTACATCGAGGAAGACCCAACCTACTTGGTCAACCAAATTCTTACCCTCTACCTCCTCAATTGTATTAGGTCCATCCAATACGCAAGCGTTTCTTGCAGACTTAGAGACCCCAGCAACTCCTGACAGTAGAAGACCACAAACCCAACAGATAGACTCGACAGTCAATGGCATCGTTATAGGGCTTTTGAGCTCATTCGGGAGCGCGCTTTTTATAGCATTTGTGGCCCTAGTCGTTTATTTTTTCAAGTATACAAGTAGTGGCAGAATCTTTCTAGGTCGAATCGGTCGACCTGGTGAATACGACGATGAACAAGCCTGTGCAAGGGAGGAAGCTGAAGCCCTAGAGCAAATGGATGATTTGCAAAGGACAGAGTATGTCAGAGCTAAAGGTTCGTCGTCGCTCTTATTACCATTTGATTAATAGAGATGATGAAATTTTGCTAACGAATTTTTCACAGCCTTCATACAAGCAAATCCACCCGACTCATTACCTACAGACATTTCGCTATCACAATACCTAGCTATCCAGGAAAAGGGAGTTTCAGCTTGGGAATTTGAGCCAGAATTAGAGATAGCAAACTGCTTCGTTGAAGGCCGAACTGAAATCGAGTTTTTTGACTCAGAATGCTCGACGATGACCAACTTACCCATACCGAAGCAAAATGAAGTCTACTACTGGGAGTCAAAAATATACGATAAACCAGAATCAACTTTAATAAGCATAGGAGTAGCTACAAAGCCATATCCCTTATTCCGGCTACCTGGTAAGTCGAAGCAGTGTAACGGAAGATAAACGAGATAACTTACTGAATGACAGGCTGGCACAAATATTCCGTCGCCTACACATCTACGGGACATCGTAGGCACAACCAGCCATTCCAAGGTCCAATCTACGGCCCTCAATTCGTACAAGGAGACGTTGTAGGAGTAGGATACCGACCTCGAACTGGCACTATATTCTTTACGAGAAATGGAAAAAGACTTGAAGATGTTGCTCATGGATTAAAGTCTCAAAATCTATTTCCTGCAGTTGGTGCCAATGGACCATGCTCAGTACACGTTAATTTCGGCCAATCTGGATTTGTGTTTATCGAGGCTAATGTAAAGAAGTGGGGTCTGGCGCCAATGACAGGTAGTCTAGCACCACCACCGCCTTATGGTAGTGAGCATGGAAGTATCTTACTTGAAGCTGGAAGAGACAGTGCTCAAGGAAGTCACGGCCAGTACTCTGAGCTTCGAAATTTTAGGACTCGAAACGGCAACCTGCAACAAGAACTGCCGACCAGTCCGGGTCCCGTCCATTCGCCAACGTACATTTCACTTGCCCATTTGACTTATATTAACTTCAGTGATGAATCAAGAGCCTCGACCAATATACTTGCTGGCCCGGATACTGCAAATTCCCAAGTTACAACTAACTTGGCGAGTAATCAAGCTCAACAGCTACCACCAGATTATTCAAGCCCTTATACACTTGAGTCAAATAATAATATCCAAAGAAATGATGATGAAATACCAAGTGCTACCAGGCACAAGATTTCACTCCCACCGATTCCTAGCTACAGTGACGCAGTGGCTGATGAAAGAACTCCAAGTATCCTCCAAGATAATGAGTGGATAGACAGCAATGACACTCGTGAAGAATCAAACCTAGGAACGAGGGGAATATAGTTATGACTTTCATGATAGAAATCGGCGTAACAGGAATTCTGGTTGGTATGATAAAGGTTGATTGGTATGGGTAAATAGGTGTTTACAACGAGAAATATATGCTTTTTTAGCGTGGGAGGAGACTTATCCTGAACGAAAGAGTCGGATACGAATATGGCGTTAAGTGTTCTCGGCGCTATTTTTAAAAATATAGCACCCTCGTAATGAGCAAATGGAACTCATTAACAAACAGCTTGCCTGTGTGGTAGCTTGACGTTTGCTCGGTGAAATCACAAATTTGATCTTTGGAATGGTAAGCACCAATTATTCGCCTTCTAGGTCAGAATTAAAAGGTTCTACTCTAAACAAAAACATCGGGAATATCTCTACAAGTTGTTAAATCATAGACTTTTGTTGATTTGCGGATCGAAGTGATGAACAAACAACACCCTGTGCACTCCTTTGGTGTTTAAAAAGAGGCTGGTCTTTCTAGATTTAACTACCAATAAACACAGTTACTATATACCTGCGTGATCGTACTGCCTCATATTTCAGCAATGTACCGGATCACGTCGATTTCTGCCAATCAGATTACTCGATTTTGACACGCCGAAGCGCAAATTTCTCGTCAGACTCGACCTTAATCATCCCTTCTCTATCGTCTGAATTCTGCCTTGTTCTGGCATCTCATTTCAACCAGGAATTTTTTTGCAGACTACATATGATTTAATTCCTATTTATTCTTCTATTGTAGTGTCGATTTCATTCATATTTCTCTCTTATCTCATATGAAACAGGTAATTCCGTACAAGCTCCAGTCCTGCCCGCTGCTGACGTGCCCCTTACTATAAAGGCTGAATACACGAAGAAGAGCTCGTAACCAAGGTACCGAGGCTTCAGTCTTTGTCGAGTGTTGTGCTTAACATGCTGGCAAAGTTTGTTGCCCATTTATTCAACTGCGACTAGTTGTAGGTCAAGTTGATGGTGCCCTCGGTAGAAGTTTAGACGCACTCAAGGCCCCTACATTGACTGTTTGTTCATAGCGTGCGGTAGTCGCGGAGGACGGAAGTCCACTCATATCTTTGATGGCCACTGCGACATGTGGATTTATTCTTGAGTTTCAGTAGGAGCAGAGGGTTGTGAGATGTGTCTGACTGGGAAAGATTGAGATAGCGAAGGGTATGGGTATGGGTTGTTTACATAACGAATGTCAAAAAGATCTGAGCCTACCTATGGTTCGTAGTCATGGAGTTGAAGATTCGTGCATTCGTGAAATCGTGAAATCATGGCGGATCGAGGGTTCGGCCTTACTACTCCTGCCGACTACCGTCGGGCGTCTCGACATAAATTTCCGGAGACATCCTTCGTCGCGGCTGGAACCCGGCTCTGGAGGAACATTACACACCCAAGCTGTGAGACACCATGTACAAGCGTTTAGGCATTATCATCGTCTGATTCATTGTTGCGGTTGGTACGGCGAACTCTGGAGCCTGAGATCCTGCCATATACCTGGCTTTGAATTCTCTATACTGATGGCACTAATCGGTTTACAAATATGATTAAATGGTATTCGGTTAATTATTTTGTCACACACAGCGCAATATATATAACTTGCCCATGCAAGACTACAATGTCTGTACCACGAAAGCCGAGGATGTGTGGAACTACGATCTGGAAATCCTCAACCCATCTTCCCGGGGAAATTAATTAGCTGTGACCTGCTTGCATTACCTCACTACTCCATCCGATCTGCCACGAAAACTTGACTGTGTTCGTCGCCAGTCAAGAGTCAATTCTTTGTAACTAGCCACGGATCTACTCTCTCTAATAATTGTTTATTATGCCAAGCATACCTGAGTTCCCTTAAAAATACAATGATTGACCCATACTTGAAATAATAAATTCACACCCGAGCTGGGCTTGCTTTTCATGCTCTAACAATTGGTTATAGATAGTATCAGCGACATTAGGGCCATCCTCTAGTCTTTCTTTGATATGAATAATGATAACTTTGATGCTTTTCAATGGCGGTTCATCGCCTGGCCAGTTGGAAATATCGGAAAGAGAGCTCTTATTCTGAAGTGGTTGCTCCTCTAAAGACGAAATGCCCTCGACAGGCCGATCGGAGTTGCCATTGGGTTCATGTTTGGCAGGGTTGAGATCAGATGGGGCAGTTTCAGTATTTTCAGATTGTGGTTTGCGTCGTATCTGTTTGGCGCCGCTGACGCTATCACGCTTTCGTTTACGCTTTTCTTTCGTTCGAAGTTGCTCGACTTCTGTCGCTAAAACCTTCATCTCTTCGATGAGATAGCGAGGCGCTAAGTGTCCGAATAATATGTTGACTGTTCGCGTATCATCATAAGAGCATTCAATGAAGATACCCTTGAGCTTTCCTGCGACAATTTTGGGGGCAGCTTCACTCCATACATGACGATTTCGAGGCCAGAGTGATATTGAATCTGGTTCCACGTCGCCAAATATTAATATTTCCCTGCCAGTCGCAATATCTCGGATAAAATGAGCCGAGCTATCGTAGACACAGACTCGATCTCTAGTTGCGTCCCTCCATGCCCTTCTACTTGACTCTGCTGCTGAATGACCAGTTGTTGAGTTATTGTGAATTTGCCGGTGTGGAGACTCGGAAATGGATGAAATTCCTGTTATTGATCCTCGATGATCATGCTTTTCGAAACAGTGACCATGACTTACACACCATGTCTTTACCTGAAGTCCTTCACATACCTCAACAAAGCCTTTGCCTTCACCGTTATCAAGAGCTGGTGATCCACCCTCGACTAATCGCAAATATGTAATGAGACCCGCCCCATTACTTTCATCTGAGAGGTTGGGCCAAATAATATTATTAAAGATATGTTCTTTGAGTGCATCGATAGTGGAAGGCAAACCTGCAATCCTCTTAGGTCGTGTACCTAATAGGCCGGCTGTATTCACGATAAGGCCTGCGATATGGTCAAGGTGCGGATGGGTTATGAGATATGTCTCAACCAATACACTGGCAATATAGCCTGCCACAGCTTTTACAGATCTGTGATGCACCTCCATACCCTGAAAAGGCCCACATGCCAAGGTATATTTCAGATGCCCTGATATATGGCCACTCTCCGACTCTTTAAAGCTTCCTGTTTCGGATTCTCGCGCGCTTGCTCCGATCGTATTCCTACCGTCCACGTTGCCGAGCCCGCTAGTTTTCTCAAGAATTTGAATGATTGCTGCCAGGTGAACACCGGCATCAACGGCAAGGATAGAACCTTTGCTCCATCGCTCAGCTGTTGATCGCACCAGAAAAGCGGTGGTGTTGTTCTCCAGCGGACCTCCGCCTGACCCCTGTTACTCAAGTCAAGTCAACATTTAAACTCATCAGATAGTGAGGAAAGTGAAGAGCAGTACCAAGGATTCTAGGAAGCAGAAAGTGCATCGAAAATCAAAACATCGACGATCGCTGAATGTGTCAACAAATAATTTGAAGTAATGAAGGGGACGAGGTCGACAGACGAAGGAGTGAAAGTGCTATTGCAGTGATAATCATTTGAACACGTGATTATATTATTGTTTTTTGAAAGTCATGATGGTAGGTTGCAGCCCCGATATTCGTCAAAGCCAGTTAAGCTACTACTCGTCGGCCATGGCGAGGCATGACCGAGATTTCGGACGGACGTCCGAGTGCGGTGACAATAGAAACATCATGACCCGGCCCTCGGCCTCGGCCTCGGCGCCAACAAAGCCTCTCTAAAAAAGAAAAAACTGCCTACCAGAACGATCACTTGCAAAGCGGCTTCGTCATCCGTAGACGCCATTCATAGACAGGGCCCTTTTTGCCGAAGGAGAGGAGGTGAGAAGATGGGATCAAAATAAGAAATGTTTGAGGATAAAACCCCGAGGCCGCGCGCTAAGATGTGGCCCTCCCCCTCGTGGACAACGTGATACATTGACAAAACGTTACTTTTTTTTCTTCATTTTTTTGCCAAAAAACCCACTCAGAACCGAATGTCAGCCATTCTGTCATTTCAGCCCTGTCGCGTCGGCCTACTCAATCTACCTCCGTTAGCCGACCTGCCGGCGCTCCTGGGAGATCCTCGAAGGCTCCAGTGAGCTAAGACGTCATAATTTGGGGAGTAGTCGATCATCGACTGCCGACATCGAAACTAAAAGCAAAATACCCTTTCTACTCATTCTCTAGTCCCCTCGGGTGGCAGAGTCTTATAACGCACGACGTTTCCCACTATCTAACTCGGCGCTTAACTAAATTTAGGTTCAGAAGGAGCCATCCCTTCGCACTGGTGACCTAAGAGCAACCCGTTTGCCCAAGAAATAATGTGTCCTTGACAATTAAAGCACTCATTTTCCTCGCTCGCGATTATTTGTCAGAATGCAAGTGAGGCCCATTCATACACAAAGTCTATTTTTTTCCATGTAGATGGTCCGACTACATAAATAAACCTATTGATAAATCAACTACAAGCATGTATTGACAAATTTTGTAAATCAAGGCGCACTACAAGATAGCATTGAATGGTGCATGATTTATAGGATGTATTCGCTGAAATATCAGGTAATTTCAGAGCCAGAACCGCCAAACAAATAACCGGACAGTATTTTTAAAATTGTGCATAGTTTAAAGAGACTCTCAGAAATAAACATTCATCACTAAAGCGTCAGTAATCTTTATCCAGGGCAACAACTATCCCCAGTATTCCCGAAATCTCTCACATCAATTACGCCTTCCGAACTACGACGACTATTACAGGCAGTGTTCGAAACACCTTGTAACAGCTGTTTGCATAGCAGCTAGAATAAAGGTAAGTTAGTAGAAAGATTTGGGTCACTGTAAGAGTTAATCTTACTTAATATTGTGGCCAGTCCCTGGCTCGAGGTTGTAGCACTATTGAAGAATCTTTGGAGAACCAGCCAATCTTCGGGCTGTGGGATTGTTATCAGCTCGATTCAACAACTAGGCGTGCTTTTTTTATCTAGTCTGCATAACGTTTTCTTGAACTTATCTATTTACGAATTAGAGATAAAAATTGTGACCCTCCTTTTTGTGATTAAAATACTTGTGAATTATCAGATTAGCAGTGTGTATCGTTTTGGAAATCCGACTTTTGTCTTAAAGCTGTTTTTACATTAATAAGCTGGAAAATTTTGTTGAGGCCTCCTATCCACCTTATGTACCTTCTAGAAAATAACACCATAATCCCTTCTAAAGATGAACAAACTAAGGGCCTAATCATTTAATCCTCATCCACGCCGTATTTCCCCGAAATAGATATATGGGTATATGATAGCAAAAACTATTTTATTTAAAATTGTCAACGATCCGCTAGATTCATATGCATGATAGCATCATTTTTCCAACTATCATCATCATCGTTGTTGTTATTTAAAACTCTAAGATCGCCATGAGCTGTTTTTTGATCGGTGCATGCCCATAACTCTCGACCTTCAACGGCAGGTAGAGTAATCTCTGATTTCCACTTATGCTGATTTGCCCCATCATAATTCGAGCTTTGCACTCTGGGTCCTGGTAAGTCGAAATCGAAATCTATCGCACTAGTTGTGACGCATCTATCAGTTTTTGCATAGGAGTTTGACTGCCCAGTGATGGAAGAGTTCCGAAGTTCCGTCGGACTAAAATTTTCGTCTATCTTCGAGCATTGTATGTCTTGAGCTGGCATTTCAGATATCCCAACGGGTAGAGGAGTTAAGTGATAATGTTTGGCTTGTACTTCTTCGTTTATGAGAGGAACTATTTCAGGATTACGGAGACTGCTTGCCCTGGTACTTCCGTGCCTCAAACTTGCAATTCCGCTGCGAGGCTCGAGAGCCTCTGATACATCTGAGAGGCCTGATTCGGGATCTCGGATTGCAAATTGAGCCATAGTCTGCATCTTGCTCGTTACCCAGCTGCCTAATATCTTTCCCCTTTGCTTCTCGCCTAATCTAGATCGTGGAAAGTCACCTTTATTTACAAAAGCGACTATGTCGACCACGATCTGGTGCTCATTTAGAATAGCATTCACAATGACGGGCACTATTGATGCGAGGTATGCTTTGCGTCCAACTTCTACGAGAATTACTATGAGACCCCCTGCTTGGAAAACAGCACTGTACACTTGTTAGTCTTGACCAATGTAGAAAATTTTGCTTACCATCCACCAGGGATTATGTTACGATGGCACCTTTCGACCGAGTATTCTATGTCTATAGGGAAGTGACTTAGACCGTTAATTTCAAAGGTCTCCCCAATGTTCCCTAACACAAACAAGACTTGCATATCAACCTGAGCACCATTAGGGCCAATAGGTCTAACAACATTGTGTAGGAAACCAAGATCACCAGTTCGTGCATATTGAATATTTGGATCGCCATCGACTGTGCGTCCATCAAATCTCTCTGCGTCTATTGGATCAATAGAGCCATAGAATGCTTTAACACAGGCTTCCGATTCGACCCAGATTTCGCCATACTCACCCTCATGACATAGAGCCCTACTTTCTGGGTTCACGATAGCAATCTGTGTGGATACTGGTACCATTCCAGAATCCTGAACTAAGAGAGACTTCAAGTTTGTATCAGGGTCCACTGGATAAATCAAACCTCGTCGAAGCGCACTTGTATCAAGCCAAAGTTCTATTGGCTCAATACACATATAGGAGCGAGATGCTATCATTGGGTTTAAGACATGTGAATATATTGTATTGATGGCTGTTCGATCAAGCCCTGACTGGGCAAAGTGGAGGCGGACCTTTTGAAAAACATCCACGCGAGGTCTTCCATCAGCTGAGATCATCATATTTTTTAGCTCATGCATAGTAAAGCCTTTACCATGCGTGCTAGCCATTGCGTGGTCAAGCATTTGTGGAGTTGCGTATGTATCTTTAACCTTATATCTCGAGAGTGTCATAAATAGAGAGATAGGGTTCTGAGCGAACTCGACTGGAGATAGTAAGTAAGTCGACGCGCCAACAAAGATACCCATAAGACAGGTGTGAATAAAACCTAGACCACTGGTGCTTCTAACACAACCAAGGACCGGCCTTGAGCTGGTCATCTGACATGTTTCTTTTTGAACTTTGCACATTCCCATGATAGTATCATGGCCCAGTCGAACAGCAATTCGTCGTTGATCGGGTGTCCAGTAGGTCCAAACAAGTACAGGATAGCCTGGCTGCACCCATGCTGGTTGCATAGTTAAGCCGAGATCCCGACAGCTATTATTCTGCTTCGGAGGTTTTGTAGTATTGTAAAGATTTGGGACTATTACCTTAAGAACCTGAGCAGATTGCTTGATATGTTGAGAGACTGTTTTTTGCTTCATAAGGTGATCCACATCTTGGTTTACTAATACTGCCTTAACTCTGTAATCTGCGACCATGTGAAGGAATGCAGGGACATCTTCATTGAGACGGTTCTGATCAAACGGAGCCATTGGGATAACCGTCGCGCCAAGGCAGAAACAAGCTTGAACGGCGAAGACAAAATCCTCCGAGTGAGTAAACATAAGTATTAGATGATCGCCAGCACGTATCTTTATTTTGTTCTTGAGGAACATAGCCACAGCAGCCACCTTAGCATCGAACTTCTTCCACGATATACCCTTTGCCTCCTTACCCCTTCCATCAATTGTGCAGTATGAGAGTTCTTCTGACTGCCGAGAAACTCTCCATTGTAGTAAATCTACTATGCTTGTAAAGTTGTTAAGCGGAGTGGAGGTTCGGTCATCTATGACAACCTCGCGACGATCAATACCGGAATACTGCTTGTCACCAGGTGACAATAAGTTTTCTCTAGTCTGGGACGCAACTGTGGACCAAATACCACCGATTGGATCAACTCCAATAGGTAGGTTAAGTACAGCTCTCTGAACACCAAATTTGACGTGCACGCATGGTAAATTTCCAAGATCGAACTCTCGCCGACAAAGCATATTTCCAATTTCTTTTCGCCCGTTTTTCAAGACCTTTGGCAACGTGTTAGGAGCTGTTATCATCACACAGTAAATTCTGAGATGGTGTTCCTGCATCAAAACTTCCATACACCTCTCAGAAAGAGTATCTAACAAAGCAGTGTCAAGCTGTCGAGGAGGACCACCAGAGGTTGAAGGCGCAGTTGAGGCAGATTGAGATTCTAGCAAAACGACAGGCAAATGCTCATCATTAACAAATATATCAAACGCTGAACAATCATAAATCTTGGGAACATTCTTCATAATGCTCACTATAATGTGTTGTACGAAAAAATATCGATGCTCAGCAATTTCATACCCGTGCTCGACCCATTCCACTTTCTGTCTAATGCGGTCTTCGTAAAGTCCTAAGACAAATACTTTACCCTCGATGACAGTTCCTAGCAGTCCGGTTCGGAGAAATTCTGGCGACACAATCTTAGGCGTCGGATCGCCTTTCTCAAATTTGTAGCATCTTGCATGAAAAATTTGCTCAGTGTGCTTTGGTAATGCCCAGAATCCACCAGACAAAGATGGAGAATCGACCCAAATTTCTCCAACAGTATGCGGCGACGCAAGGAGACCGGTCTCTGGATCGACAATGACCAAGGTTGCATCAGGTATCGGAAATCCAAATGCGCCAACTCGTACTGTGGCACCGTGACTGCCAGATTTTTTCCGAGCCTCTTCCCCAATAGCCACCACAATTACCTCGTTAGTTTTTAGAGCTTCACGATCAAGTAACACTTCACTAAGCTCCGTCCTTCTTTGTGGAGCTACTGGCTTAGAAATTCTTCCACTAATAGCACCACTGCCACCGCCAATTAAACTTCCGAACCCATTATCGAGAGGTTTACTTTTTTCTGTTCGATCAATTTTTTCAGATCCTGAGCTTTCGGAATCGGAGCCCCAGTCTAGATTAAGAGGGCAACCCATTCGCTCTTCACCGCCTAGCCAGTCCCTCATGCTAATTATCATACCTCCGTGCTCTGGAAGACAGAGCATTGGCGCCACTAATTCACGAGCCCGTGGGTTTCGCATCGGACGCAACCATCTATCGGCTAAGACCTCATGGAACTCACTATCGACTGTTAGGGTATCGATTAGGCATAATTTAACTTTTTGAAAATTGGGCTCCATGGCTTTTTTAAAATTTCTGGTTGTCATGGGATCTTGCTGGTAGTTATATGCTGCTCGTTTCAAACCTGGATAGTCAGCAACCATAAGCGTCGCTTGATACTTTGTGATAAGATGGGCATAGAGACCCGGGACTTCAACTGCTTTATTTTCCATCCAAACATTGGTGTGCCCGCCATAAACCGTTAGGAGTACTCCTAGTATCATTCCAATACCTTGCCTGCAGTCTAAATATGATATGAAAGTCTCCCCACCATCGCTAATTTCCGCTACGAGCCTTCCACTTTTATCTCTAACACCTGTACCGTTAGATTTATCTCTTTGGCTTCCAGATGGAATGGTTGAAACAATAGCGCTTAAGCATGCCATCTGATGCATGATTGTACGATGGCTCATAACAACGCCACGAAGATCGCCTGTGGGTGAGCGGGAAAATTCTATATAAGCAAGATCTGGAACGGCGAGTGCCGGGATATCGTCTTTTCTTCTAGGATTAAAACTTCCAAATTCGTTCGTCTTCCACCATTCTACACCGCGAGGCCAGCTAAGCTTCTGGACGGTAATATCACGTTGAAAGTTCTTAAGGTTATTATCAGTAGTGAGTGCTAGATGCACCTGCGTGGATGTGAGGATCATGTTGAGTTTTGCATATTCTTCGAGGTCGTTTATGGGAACTGCGACGACGCCTGCAATAAAACAACCACATAGGGCAATTGCAAATTCAACTAATTCAGTGTCTCGATAAATTAATGCAACCCTATCACCCCGGTAAAGGGAACTTTTGTCTCGAATTACTTGAGCTACTTTCTCAGCTCGACTAGCAAATTTTTCCCAACTTATAGAGGAAGTCTCTTTTCCTTTTCCGTCAAGGGTCGTAAAGGCTGATAATTTCGAATTAACCCGACTTCGATACCTGAGTACAGCTGCAATATTCTCAAAATTTGACATCGGAGTATTCCTATCATGTGGGTCATGAACTGCGAATGGAACATCTCTGGGCTCTAGTGGTGGCTGATGCTCTGGTACAAGAGGGCGATTTTCACTAGAAAATTGAGTCTGAGGTGCGATAGCAGCTGTTGGAGAGAAGGCATCACTTGATGAATACCTCTGAGGTCCCCCGCCATATGAATCTGTTGGTCCATGATTATAGTAGTCTTGTTGGCCAGCAAAGTCGGAGAAATATCTCTGTTGAGATTCACCAAGCATAGTCCCTGACTGGCTACCGATACCATCCCCATCACGGTAGCCTCTGACGGAAGGGCCTGGTGTTAATGAAAAATTTGTACCTCGAGTGGAAGATATAGCTGAATTCGGATCGTGAAGAGAATCATTGTAAAAAATTTCGTTTGATGAAAATATTTCCTGACTATATGATTGTTTACGTGTAGCACCGAAGAAATCATGCTGTAATTCAACCGGTATTGTGGTAAAAGAGGGCGTTGCTGTTGAGCGGCCATAAGCCACATTTTCTTCATATTCGTTCGTGAAATTTTCGACTCGTTTTTGGGGCTCTGCTCTAGATGGAGTGCGAGTTACCATAGCACTTTGATGCTCCTCCGCGTCTCCAGATGATATGTAGGAGCTTGTCCGGGTCCCAGATGGTGCTGCTTGAAGCCTATCATCTGATTTGTGTATCAGAAGATTTTGGATATCTGATGAAGAGACATTATATTGGACAATTAGTTGTGCCAGTCGCTTTTGGTAACTGTGGTAGCTTATCAGTACCAGCCACTCAGGGTTTAATGTATTACGATTTCTGCCGGTTTAGATTTGGATGACGAACCCCTTCTCCGTAATATCACCCTCCTGAAGAAAAAGATCTTTGTTAGCATAGTTTCTCAAATGGTTCTATTATAAATCTCAACATCCTAAACATAATTGTCTTAAGAAAGTATCCCCGCTAGCAGTGAAGTCCCACAGAGACTTACTCACCTTGAGGTCATTTTCAAGGACTTGTAGCTTTTCTTTAAGTTTTGAGATATCTTGATTCATCCTTGCGAGTCTAGTAGGTTATAACAAAATGCCTCAAGTTACTTGCCGTCTCTGATTGATGTTGCGAGACATGGAAAGGCTTTGAATAGTGTCACAATTATTTGATCTAGAAAATCAGTTGAACTAAGTGGAGTCGCGAAAGCTATGATTGTGATAGAAATTAGAATTAGTATAGAACGTAATTCATTATCCATCATTCCATATTGGGATACAATTGCTACCCCCCAAAAACTTGCAAGCCACAATAGCCGCCAAATAGGCGCGCATCAAATTTTAGTAGCCTATAAATATGACAACAAATACCTTCCGTACCTCTTTCAGAAGACATCTGTTCTTAACCTTTCATGAACACCGACCACATATACGCGAATAATTATTACAACCGACAACGAGTGGCTGAAATGGATTCATGTGAAATGTAGGAAATTTATCCCTGATCAATGCCTTATTTATACCAAGAAATACCGTACGAGCAGCTAAATGTAAGTCAATTTACTTTGGAAACTCAAAAAAAGGCATACCTTTTAAATGATGAAAAAATAAGACATAATCACAGACCTGTTCTGAATACAATATGTGGATAGAAAATTTTTCTGATCCTCACATTCATGCTGAATACTTAACATCTTTAACTTATTGCTAACCAATTACAGAAAATTTACGCTCTAATTCTAAATGGTTACATCTACATGACCTCAAATTCGACACCGGATTAGATAATCTCGAACCCCTCACAGGTAGTGATATTCATTTAAAAAGATTATTTTTTATACATGTAAAAGAGCTCATCCTTCCGGTATCTCCTTTCCAGGAAACTGATCTTCAGCAATTCTCTGACGTGCACTTATATGAAACATCCACGAAAATCGCTGTGCGGCGTATAGCTTTTGTTAAAAGGTAGCATAATGTTCCTGAAAGCCTATGACTCATGTAGTCCGGCAAACATCTCACTCCCTCGAATCACGTGAAATACCGTAGGATGAGGCACAATTTGTACTTCATCGGTAGTAGATCTACTCCGGCCAAACTTCACTAGTGCCCAAGTTCCTTCAGATGGTTATGGGTTACATGTACCCAACGTATCAATGACCTATCAAACTAAATAAAGCTGCGCCAAAAGTATAGTAGATGATTTATAAATCCATACCACTAAAAAAGAAAAAACTTGGGGAAATGGAAAGTTCCTGTAAATTGGACCCTGGCGGTCTGCTTCGCACAGTTCCCTTGCCAATCAAACCTCCCCAATGACAAACGTTCCCAACAAGCGCTGAGAGTGACAGGTGGATTAGTAGGTATCGTTTTTTAGCCGGTATCCTGCTACGGAAATATTAACGCCCAAAGATGCATCAACGATGTCGTGTGGTACGGTCCTTGTCTGCGCAAGGAAGAAAATATTTTAAAGGTAAGACTCAGTAATCATATTGCGTGGTGATACTGATACAAGCTCCTATTAACGCACAACTCGTATGTGAGTCGTGTAAATGAGCAGGAGCTCAGTGGCCACATATTGTCGGTCCGCGTTACATGAGTACATCAGCCAATAAATGTCCATAGCTGTGGAGCAAATAAGACGTGTGTATAATCAGGCGCTTACACTTCTTACGTAGGATATGCGTTAATCGTTTGACACCCACTTATCCTCAGATACCCTAAATATGTTCGTTCATCACCAGAGTGTTCATTCCACAGTCTTCAAATATACTATCCCAAAACAGTACTTACCCATCTAACCTTGTGATTATGACACTTTACCATTAAGCTTGTTCGGGCTCTAAATCTCCGAAGATCGATACCTCAACTAGGAAGACTTCCTTGTTAGAAGCGACCGTCGCCTCTTCTGCTGTTTTCGCCGCAACCCCTGCTCGTGCTGCCACTGCAAACTTCTTTTGCTGGACCTCATAGATCTCCGCGAGCTAATTTTTGTTGACTGGTCAGGGCTTTCTGGACTAGGCACGCCAGTTTCGAGAACTCGATTGGTGAGGTTCCTCACAGTTTCAACATGTGGTGAGTGCAAGGCACTTGTAAGATTTTGTGTCTGATCTGCAATCACGACAGGCCAGAGCACGAGACAAGCCGAGGCAGCGATAACACGGCCGGGTTTTCCGATGAAGTTGGTGTTGTAATTAGGGGAGAAACATGACTGCATTACAATAAACTGTTCACGTTAGAATAATGTGCACATGCGCCAAGAGATATGGTTGACCTAGATCATCACTCATTGGCATGACACAATATTTCCCAATAGATTTCTAGGTATATATATTGGCGTTAGGATCTCTCACATCCTTTCTTTTTCCTTCAGACCAGGAAATATGTCTGAACATCGACAAGTGTGCAGAAACCCCCTTATTCACGTACACAGAGGGAGATCCTGTCAAGTAGATAATATAAGCCATTCATACAATAGGAAATTTAAACAATCTCCTCATTATTCACACACTTGATAATACCCTCAAGCTCGTCCATTGATCCAAGTCCTAAGAGTATAACTCACGAACTTCACTTCTCTTAAAGCCATAGCTACCTCCTTCCACAGGGGGACTATTCTCAACACCTGTCAATGATCTCCCATATGAACCTCCAGCTCTCACTGTAGAGTCTGCAGAGCCGAGATTAAATAATAAAGTCCTCACTTCGACGAGGATTCCTAATCTCTCTCGCAGTCTGTATCGTCTCCATCTCTCAACACGTTCCCCTATCACCATTATCATGAAGCTAAACACAATCGGATCAGATGGTAGGGTCGGAGCCCTACTCATCACCAACCATTGATCATGAAGGAGAAGCCATCCGATGAGTTTCCTGAGCGTACCCAGCACCCGATACGGAGATAGTGAATTGGATCAAGTCGGCTTCGACTGTTACAAAGAGGGGAGATATAGATGAATATGCGCACCTTATGTGGTCCCGGTGTCTAGGCCTTGCCTGGCTGGGGCTGCAGGTTTTTTTTGCATCAGATTTTAATTGCGTATGCAGCTATCTAGCTATGACACAACATCAAAGAAAATTACAGAAAAGATGACTCAATTTACAAGAGGAGCACTCATGCCTCAGATTTCATTTGCAAGTGCCACTGCGAAGTTATGGTGGCTTTTTCTTCACCCCAAGTCAACCCTCATCCGTGAATACCCACTCAGGGGAACGTCTCAAAAACCCTGAGTTATCCAGACATGCCTCCGTCATCCATCAACTTTTCTCCGCGCGAAATGTAATCTGAGATGTCTCCTTCCCAAGTGGAGTAGGTGCCCAGGCTACTCAAACTATACCAGAGAACACCACCAGGAGGCGGACCACAACACTTTCCATCGTTGACTTGTGTTTATAGTGTTAGCTGCACTCCCGCAAGCGAAGCCTTAGCACGCACAAAGCTCAATTTGTAAAAACTTCTTGCCAAACTTCGAAATTTCACGCCCGTCGAGACTATATCCTTCCTGTGCATCGTCTTGTGAACTTTTCCTGATCCCTTTCACCCCAATCACATAGAACTGTCTCTCAGATTTATGCGACACGCTTTGTTTCTTCCGTTGGGTGTAAATATCGGCGTGGGCGTGTATCTGGGGACCAGCTAAGGCCAGAAAAAGTCGACGAGAGGTGTGGTCATAGGAATGAGGATGAACTTGGTCATAATTGTAGACTTGATGGGACTTAGGTAGGAGTCAAACTCATTGGGAGCGAAAAACTGCGTGGTGGAGTAATTTGAATTTTTGCCTCGCGGGTCAACTTCTTTGATATTGCGAAAATTGACTGAACTTGGCTCTGGGAGAATATTTCACTCCCAGGTTCGTAGAAGACGCCGCGTACAGGTGTTTAGTCTTGCCCTCCAGGATAAGAACTTGCTCATTGAGAGTCTTGGTCATTACAATTGGAATTTTCTTGGTTGTATTTACCATACGGGTTTCCTCCTTTGTAAAATTAGAGTTTGTAGACACTTGCAGGGGCCTTCAGGCGCCAAATCGGGATAAATGATATCAAATCCAAAAAATGATCTTTGTTTGGAATTTATCTTGCCAGGTGTGCAAGATGGATTTGGCAGGGAGTCCTGAATCACCGCCTCGTGGGCCAAATTCTTTGGTATTGAAGGACTTGTCTCCCTCTATCTACGAGAGCAAAGTTAGAAATTATCCAATTTGAGCATGAAAATTTAGCCAGTATCTAATGCAGATTTTAGGAGTCCTCCATAGTCATAGACTCAGTGAGGACTATAATAGTAATCTAATCTAATATTGGGTATTGCGAGATTTGACTAATCACTCCAAATATTATGAAAATTTCATTTCCAGATTGGAAGAGGACACGACGGACAGGAATCTAGCCTTTGCTCTCTATATTTGGCCTTCTTTCCCTCTTGCATTTTGTATTGCTACAGCGGTTTACGTTTCAGTATCAATCTAGAGTTACAGATAGATAGCTGGATATAACATGATTTAAAAAAGATCCCAGTATCAAGTCCTAAGTTTCTCATTACGAACTATTTTCTTGGCTGTAATAAATTTGCGAACCAGAGGCAGCCCCGAGAACCTTCACCATCCATTCATGCCAGCTAAGTAAAGTGAATCCAATCTTTTAGACCCTTGTTTGTGAGGAGAACGGCTTTAAAGCTTCACAGGCAGTGAATTATCCCATCTCTAAAATAAAATCCCCCTGACTCTGCAAAAGGATGTAAAATCAATGCACCCTTAAATTATCAAAAGTCATCTATTAGGATATTGAAATACAAGCAAAGATATATAGATACATATATGCATAATTATTAGTATACTCAGATCGATTTGGGCACCCCAGCTTTTTTCCAAATATGATCCATATTTGGATAAAACATCATCAATCATTTGCAAGTTCCTTAAACCTGAGGCTAAAATAAATAGCATCATAACTTGCTGAACAAATACACTGCTACTTAATGTCTACACATGTATCAAAATCAGGTAACATCAAAGTTAATTTTACACCAGATCTCATTGGAGTATGAAATCTAATAAAGTCGAAGAAGTAATTTCATTGAATGGTCAATTTGACGAGACTGGGCCATACGTATTACGAAATCTCTTGACGGGTATTCCTTTATCTATCGAAGGAGCAAGGGATGAAGTTCAGATCAATTGTGTAGAGCTTTTAGGTGTGTTCAACTTCTAACTACTTTAATGAAATCCCATTGAGCTACTAATTCGGCTGATTACACCGATAGATCACAATCTCTATGTCGGTACTTCGTCTTCCGAACTGTTACACTTTGTGCGAATTCCGTGCGATCCCGACGTAAATGTTGGATCACCTTCTTACATACTTGCCTCAAGATTACCTCCTGAATTCCACGATGTCCCGAACGAGACACGGCCCGGTGTCCAACAGATTCTACTATTACCGAGTGTCAACAAGGCCTGTATACTTTGCAACTCAACCGTTACATTTTATTCACTTCCAGAACTTAGCCCTGCATTTGGAACTACCCAGATACGGCAGTGTAGTTGGATTGGAGGCGTGGACTTGAATATAAACCCTAAAGAAGGTTCGTCAGATGGCAAGCCTCCATCTTTGACCATTCTTGCTTCCTTAAGCAAAAAGATAAGAGTTATCAGAATCAGCGAGACTCCCCGCGGATTGAGATCAATTGATTTTTCTGGAAGTGTGATTTCCGTACGTCGAGACTCATATGCATGTGTTGCTGATACACGGTCTTATGCTCTCATTGATGTTGATCGCTTGCTCAAGATACCTCTATTTCCCATATCTTCACTAGATGTATCTCAACCTGAAAAAGGTAACGTTAGTCAGGAAATCCTGGAAGAACAGAAAGCTTGCGTTCCCAAAATAATTTCTTCAGCACAGGTGGAAGCGGCAGAATCTCAACTCACTCAAAAAAATGCTCAGAGTACGAACTTAGATGTCACTTTACAGAAAAGCGTAGGCAAAAAATCACCCCATAGTTCTGTCGACGATAATTTTCACGAGGATCCTCAAAATAGTTTCTGTCGAGAAACCACACTTAATACGCCGACCGCTAGCCAGTCGAAACCTTCTTTGATCAAAAATATCAGCCCAAGTCTGCTGCCATCACAATTATTGACAATATTGAATCAGGATAAACCATCTCACGCATCTACACCATCAATTTTCCTCAAGCCTCACATTGTATCTCCAACACCGCAGGAATTTCTTTTGGTCACAGGTACTAGTCCTTCCGACCCAGGCGTCGGCATGTTTGTCAACCTAGAAGGTGACCCCACTCGTTCCACCCTTGGGTTTGAGCGATACCCAGATGACATTGTCGTAGACGGACGAGGAGTTAAAGTAGGAAAATCCCAGGCCATGGCTAGTTCTGACGACGAAGGCTTTTTACTTGCGTCTATGATTCGACACACCGATAAAATTTCACGTGGAATTGAAATTCAGCGTTGGGATATCGATGCTGATGAGGCTAACAAAGATAAATTCTGGCTAGAGGTTCCAACAACTTCAAGAGATAATTCTAGTCTAGGCTTACGGCTAGTAATTGATTCAGAGGTCTTACACTTCAGTGATGTGGTCGAAAAGCTTAGATTATACCGCTTTCGACCAAATGGTCACAAACCAAGAATGGGTATTTCAAATCCATACTTAAATACTTCAGATTTGCAGACAGGTGATTCTTCTAGTAATATTTCAATGAAAATTCCAATCATCAAAGAATGTGATACGGTTTTGGAAGAGTGGGAGCTCAAAAGAATCGAGGAAGAAGGTCAACTTGCCAATCGACTAGCAGGCTCCAGATCCCAAATTGTTGTTTGGTCAGGAGATAATATTTGGTGGGCAGTTAGGAATCCTTTAGTCCTACGTCTAGACGCTAGACTTCCAGAAATCACATCGATCTCTAGCCTTAATAAACAGGCAAACCCTTCCATAAACAGATCACTACTTATTGATATAATCATGTCTCTTAGTGGACGTGAGGCGAAAACAGAGGCAGATTATATAAGCCTTGGATATATACGACAGAAAGCTGGACTATTACTTTTCCTAAATAGCGCTTTCGCTTTAGACTATAAACCAACAAAAGCTGAATATAAAATTGCAGCTGAAGCTCTTATACAGGGTGGTCTAGATCCTCGAGTTCTTCTTGCTACTATCCCTTACCTTCGAGACGAAATAATCGAGACTAAGAAAGGTATATGGATTTGTAATGGTATCAAAAATATTGTTGAAAATTTTATTGCTGATTTTGGGTCAATAAATGCGGATGAAATTAGTAAATACTTTACTTCAGATCAAACTCTCTACTTTCTAAAAGATTACTTAACTGATTGGCGTAAAAAAAAAGGCTTTGGTAGTATTTCTAACGAGAAAGAGGTTTTTAGCACTGTCGATGCCTGTCTCTTGGCTGTGCTGCTTAAGCTTGATGTTTTAACTTCCCCAGAAACTCATGAGGAGAATTCGGTTCAAGAAGAATTGTACAGGCTAGTTGATCACGGAGTCGATTGCTTTGAAAGAGCCGTTAAACTCCTTGAATCTTATAATCGTCTTTATGCTCTAAGTCGCTTGTATCAGAGTCGCAATATGAACGAAAAAGTTCTTAGTACTTGGCAGAGAATAATAGATGGTGAACTCGATGAAGGAGGTGAATTTACGGACAGTGTCAAAAAATTCCAGGCGTATCTAATCAAAAGCCAAGACAAATCATTAATTCTCAGATATGGTGGCTGGCTAGCATCTCACAGCCCCAAACTCGGAGTTCAAGTATTTGACGAAGAAAAAAGTCATGTAAAATTCGAAAATGACCAAGTCATTGAAATTCTGCGGAATAGGGCTCCCGATGCGGTCAAAGAATATCTCGAACTCCTAGTATTTCAGAGACGCCTCACAAAGTATATAGATGAGCTGATTTCACAATACCTGAAAACTATTTTGCAAAAACTGAATAACTCAAATGATATAAGCTTGAAACTAGAGCAGAGCTACCAGAATTACCGAGCTCTCCGACCTCCTAAACCATCATATCGTCAATTCATCGTAGAAAATTTGATAGAGGAAGATTGGTGGGCTTGTCGAATAAAACTTCTACAGCTGCTAAGCGGGAACCAAGGCACACCATCTACTTATGACACACACGAAATCCTTGTTCAAATAGCGCCTTTTGCTGAGCAACTAGTTCCTGAAATAATTATCCTTAATGGGCGACGATCTAATCATGAAGAGGCTATACGGCTACTTTCACATAGCCTAGGAGATTATGACACAGCTATTAACTATTGTCTATCAGAGGGCTCGAGTATCTATTACCCTAATGCTGATGCGACGATTAACGATGAAATACCGTCACAAGAAAAGCAGGCAGGGCTTTTTCGTATTTTATTATTAGAGTTCCTGAAAATAGAAGACCTAAGTGATCGTGTAGAGCAAACAAGCAATCTACTAGAAAGATTCGGTGGCTGGCTTGATGTTGAACATGTACTCGAATTAATACCAGACACTTGGTCGGTTGATATTATCTCGGGGTTCCTTAAAATTGCGCTAAAACGTATCGTAAGTGAAAGAAACGAATCCATGGTTGTTAAGGCCCTTAGTGCTGCAGAAAATCTCAAAATAGATGCAGAGATTTCTGAGAAACTAAAAATAAAAAAGGGTTTAATTGAAACATGAAAATTGGATTCAATTAATTTGACATTAATCATGTCAAAACTCAGTTAGAAAACGGGGCATTAAGTGGCCGTGCTTAAAATATTTAAAAAAGGTCATGAGAAATACAATCTACCCAGGCAATTAAAGCCACTAATAAGAGCTAATTAACACCAGGATATAGTTCTCTAGAATATCACTTGAAAGTTGTCCTGAGAAAGTACAGCTTGACTGTTAATTATCGATTTATTTAAATGAGCTATTTATTATGTTCTCTTCTTCATACTGATCCAAAAGTATATGAGATAGCTACAAAAAGATACGAATTCCAATTACGCTTCACCATCAATCAAAAATTAACTGAATTTCGTACAAAATCGCTGAAAATTAGAATGATTATCGAATATCATAAAACTACCGATTTGTAGAGTCAGAGACAGAAGAACCAGTACAAATTATTTGTAAGCTACTCTCGTTATCAGATAGATTTTATGACTGAAAAATCATAGGCGATGACATATTTAAACTATCTATCTGGCTCTCAAGCATTACCCCTATCATCTGAAGAATATGAGATTCGTTTATTTATTTAGTTTGTTACCTTCATCTTACTTTATGTGCTATTAAGTGTATAAATATCTTGTCCCAGGAAAACTAAAAATTAGAAGTAACCTGGCTCCATTCAAATGTTCTAAACCCCGATATCCGAGATATTCAGGTTGGAGGAATAAAATAAAAACGATGAACACTAAGTTACCGAAAGCAATTGTCTAAATGCACTCCGGATTATTTTTCAGGGTGAGCTTGCTTACCTTCCGATACCGCTTGAATCTCCGCAGCCCTCCTATCTATTGCAAAGTTTATTTAACGAGTTCTCAATCAGAGAGAAGCCAAAGTATGTACATTTTTTCTAACAGTCATAGATGAAATATTTCGGGTACAGACTCGCCGATAAACCTCTATGGGTAGTCAAGAATTATTTGTTGCGCATTTTCACTCCACTTTCCAAAGGAGTAGATGCTTTCCTCGAATTATGGAGTTTTGCTCGCACTTATAAAAATCTTTGCCAGCTCTACTCCTCACAGAATTGAACTAGTACGGAACTCCCTGATATGCTTAAATAGTCGTGCGGATGAAAGATACCCTTATTAAGGGGGTCCAATCATCACGTTCAATCTTCTTGTGAAATCTCAAAGGTGTTTGCCTTCCACCTGTTTATCAGAAGTTTTGAGGAGATTTGTCGCTATTTCAACCGTCGAGTACGAGCGCAGCATTAGTCATAATCCTTTCGATCCTTTGTGGCGCTTCAAGGATAAGTAAAAAAATCTCTATGTTTCAGTACGTCGCTGTGCTATTGGAGAAGTGCAGATTGTCTATCGGGGAGTTCTGTAGAGAAGCTTAAGCCGTTAGAGTCGTATTTAATATCACCTAGTGAAGCGAGTTGGGAAATTGAAGAGTCTGAAAACTATAGTGGGGAGTTGTTGATTAAATCCACTTAGTATCAGGGTGCTATATGTCTTGGGGTAACATTTCACCTACTCATGTAAACTAAGCTAGACAGGTCACTTGACCTTCATAGCAGTACATAGATTTCATCTGTAGCTATAGGGTTCTTTACACAAGACTAACTAGTACCCCAAATTATATGCATTTGGCGTGTATTTGCTAGAGCTCAATTTAGAAGACCTCTGGTCTAGGCGATGGATAACTTTCCTTTTAATATATATAACTATCTTCTCTACTGTATTAGAATACAAAAGTCTCAGCTCGAGAGTACTTTTGACTTCTTTCGATAGTTCGGGGCGCATGGCACGCAGGCCTTGACCCATTTATAACATGCCAGGCTTATTTAAAGGTATCGGCACGTCGGGTAGTGTATGTAGACTGAGCTGGCCAAAACGATACCTTAAGGTTGTTTGTTTTGTTTTGTTTATTCTGTCCTAAGCTAAAGCTATGTTTTCCACGTTGGGTCAAGGACAGGCGGAGCCGGCAGGGTTCCCTGTAATCTTTCCTACAGCCTAACTCGTTCCAACCTCGTGAATCGCTACCAGAAGTGCAGCTGATTAAACAGAAACGAAAAACCAAGAAAATCAAAACTCCGAAAAACCAGAAGATTCCTCCAAATTGGACCCAGTCAATGTGCTCCTCACACATTCCCTCGTCCGTCACACCTTCCAAATGACAAATTTACTTAATCTCCGCTGAGAGCAGTAGATGAGTTAGCAGGCACCTTTGATCTAGCCGATATCCTGCTAATTGTTAGTAGATGCCCCAAAAGGGGACATCGCCGAGGTTGCTGTGTCCTCAAACTTCTTCTTCAGGTCCCAGCACTCCGAAACCTATTGCCTCGGCCATTGACACATCCTTCGCCGCGGCGACGATCGCCTCTTCGGCCTTTTTGGCTGCAGCTCTAGCTCGTGCCACCTTCGCAAACCCCCCTTGTTCGAGGTGGCGTATCCATACGAGCTGCTCTTTTATCACCGGCCCAGACTTTCTGGGTCTGACTTTGCAGTCCCAAGAATCCGATCGGTGGGGTCCCCCACATGTGCAAAACTTTGAGGGCCTTGCACTCGGCTTCCGAGTGCATGTTGGAGCCGCAGTTTCAGCAGGCTGGAGCGCGGGAGCAACCGCGAGTGGCGTGGAAGCCCATACAGCGTTTGCACTGTTCAATTTGGGGACGAGGCTTGTGAATGGTAATCATACCAGACTCGTCGAAGAGGCGGATGCCCGCACGAGGGGCGTTGTCCCGCGTGAAAAGGGCATGCCAGTTTCGGTGCGGTGCCCCAGGTCGACATTTCCCATGAGGTCGGACCTGGATTGGTCTCACGCCGGTCGTAAGGGTGATCTTGGCGAAGACCAACTCAGCATCGATCGCTCTGTGGCCGCTCTCTTTAATTATACTTACAGGTACGTTCGGTATCTGTAAGGCTACAAGACCTGAAGATGCCTCGAGTTTGGCGTTTTCACTCGCCAGCTTCGAAGAGCCATCTAGCATCTCTTGTCGTGTTTTTTTGTTCTTTGCTAGCATAGCAAAGCCGGACCTCACTCGATGAAGTGAGGTTATCTTATCGTGAAAGAAAAGGAATCTCATCTCCAATTTGCTTCTCACGCAACTTGTGAACAGTTTTCGCCACGGGTGGTCCTTTTCAAGGCGAAGGAACAGTCGCTTGTAGACTTTTGCCTTTGGGGTTTCTTTTTGGTGGGCTTTGGCCGCAGGTCGCGGCATAGCCTTGGCAGTAGGGACTGCTTTTTGTCGCAGTCCGTGTCTGGTCACCCTGGCACGGGTGCTTTTGACGGGCAGAGCTGGGACGGTGGGTATTGTTTGGCTCCTGGCGTCGGGAGCCCTTGGGAGGGGGTTCGTCGGGCAAGGAGGAAGAACAGGTGGCGTGGTGGCCGGGCCCGTGGCCATGTATTGCGCAATGGCGGCGCGTAGGTAGATTCTCATGGAGTCTACGAATTGTCTATTTGACGTGTTGGTCAAAGGGAGGAGGGTGGCTTCGACGCCAGAGATGGCGGCGGAGCAGAGGGCCAGATTTGCCGCTATTTCGGCGACGCGTCGTTGTTCAGCTTCGACAATTGGTCGAAGCTCTAGGGGACACTCTGCTTTTGTGGCAGCTTTTGGCTGCGACGTTGATTTTGGCGCTGCTTTGACTGCAGCGTTTTCCGACGGTTTTGACGCTGTCGGAGGAGATTTTGACGATGCTCCAGTCCCGCGAGGGACGGAGGATGGTTGGGGAAATTCCTCAACAATTTCTACTGACCCGATCATGTCAGTATCGGGCTCAGTGACGGCGGGGAGGGCTTTTTCCTTCCCTTTGATTGAGACCTTGCTCATCTCCGCGCATTTCGGAGACTGGGCAAGGCCAGGTACTTGTTCGAGAGCCCTCGGGTGGACTCTCGTGTTGTCCAACTTGGCGTTGGGACGCTTTTTTTCGAATAGATGGCATGGTGAAAATGCCAGTGACTCGATCACAATTATTTGATAGAATGCGACGAGCGCGAGAGGGAGGGAGAGGGGGAAAAGGTGAAGATTCGAAATTTCGAATTTCAAAATTTGGTTTTGTTTTGAGCTATTACGGCGTTAAACAATAACAAATAATAAATGTAGGGTTCTTTACAACATCTTTATCATCAAGATCACCTCACGTGCCAATTTTTCAGACACATCAGTATCAAATTCTTCACCTGATCTATCTCCGAAATACGACACACAAAGATGCCGCCCGGGAGGCAAAAAAACCCCGTCACACTGTCTCAGGGACCAACCTCCCGCATACCCACTCGCGCCTCTAAACGCGTAAACAAAGGCTCCTCACTCTCAACCGGCCGTGAAGAAGCATTGATAGCGGCTCTCCAGGAAAAACTACCTGACATACAAGAAAAAAATATGAGCATGGACTCCGCAGACGAGCTCATGCCAGAGTACTCTGACGAAGAAAGCTCACACTCTGACTTAGACTATGCCCTCGCTCCCCAAACCCGGGCTTCAAAAGCTAACAGCGGCGCCTCCTCAAAGGTCCCCAAGCCACCCCAAGCAAGACAAGGGCTTGCGCATTAAATACACGCCTCTCCTTCTTATGAGGTCTGTAATCTTAACAACACAGCGGAGACGACAATTCCGCTTTTAAGAGAGATCCAATCCCCATCAATGGCAGAAACTAATGAAGTCGCAACTGCACTTCTAGCCTGGCAGAATGCGGGGCTCGAGCATCTTCGCTTTCTACCCCCTAGAATCACAGCAGACCTAAGAGCGGTCGTCACGCATAGCGCTGCTCAAGTTATAGGAGGACTCCATATTTTTGAAAACGTGCCTACAAGCCTACAACCAACAACTGAGTCACAACCCAAGGCAGTGATAACCCGAGAACCACCCACCTCAAAAGCCACAAAGCTTACATACGCCAATGTAGCGAAGGCTAGCACACCAGCGCCAGCCCTAAATTCTGGTCCGTTAGCGAAAAATCTACCTAAAAAAGCCAGAAACCGAGCAAAATTTCCGAAGACTGACAACCCTCTTCGATCTC